AGTGGTAAATCTGCACAAAGTGAGAATAGTATAACACCCATCTCCATGGTGGGCCTTGAAACAAACAGGAAGGCCAATAAGAAACGTTCATGACGTCGCAAGACGGCAAAAACGTTCCCCAAAATGGCAGACGATTGTAAGGTCTGTGATTCTGTTGTCGAACAAGCAGACTCTGCCTTCGAATGCAACTTTTGCAGGCAATGGGTACACCGTAGATGTGACACCGGGGTACCAAAAGTATATTACGATTTTATGCGTAAGAATCCATGCCCATGGTTCTGGTATATATGCCCAAGTCACCGTACTGATGCAGCCTCGTGTAGTTCCTCGAAAGCTAAAGATGGCATAGAGGTATCAGGGAAAAACGTGTAATGTTCTACTCCCACCAACTCGGAAAACAGCACAATTGCACGTAAATCGGGGATACCAAAATCCACACCGGTTAAACTTGCAATTCCTGCCATAACTGCCCCAGACACAGAGGCTGAAGCACCAAGGGTATCTGTCGCTGGGAAAAGACCCTTACCGTCCACCAGTAATAGTGGCCACTGCACTGCGACACATAATAATATCCAGTCGCACCAGACGAAACAAAACGGTCTTAAAGGGGATGACAAATGTGCGAGGACCGAACCTAAATCCACGGTTAGTAGATCAAACTGCGTAATCCTCTTTAATGTACCAGACTGTAGCAGTAGTCTGCTGGAAAACAGGGCCCTGTTTGATCAGGAACAGTGGTCCAACTTATGTAACACACTGGGTCTGGACATCCAACCAGTAAAACTATGCAGATTGTATAAGGGCACTGCTGCTCCTCAAGGCAAACCATCCCCACTGAGGGTAACACTGGGCTCTACCGAGGATGCCGAAAAAGTTTTACTGACTTCCCAAGTCCTTTCTATAGGGAGGACCTGCAATATGCGTGTTAGGCCAGATGGGCCATGGAAGGAAAGACAGATGGCGAGAGAGTTACCAGAGCTTATTCCTTCTGCCTCCATGGTTGTTCACGGCATTCCCGAACTGGTAACTGGGAACATTTGTGAGAAGCACTGTCACGATGTACAGCAATGGAGATGGTTGGCATCCCAGATGGCTCTGGGAAGTTCAGGGGCTGTCTCCATTTATAGACTGCCTCGACCCATTCACCTTATGTCAATTAACACGCCACGTCTGTTAGCTGTCAAGTTCAGCTCCCGAGACCACTTGACTACTGCTCTCCAGAGATGGTACGAGACCAAGGACAAGGTCAGCAGACACATTCGCTGCTGCGAGAGTCGTATCCAAGGGAGAGAACAAAACGTTGTCAAAGAAAATCCCCAACCCCTAGTCACAATACAGCGGTGCAGCACGGACGATGATAGCCAGTGTCATCCAAGTGCTCCGATTGAACCAGAAGAAAAAAACTCCAACAGGCCGGTTCCCGGGGAATCGGCCAACTAGTTCGTAGGATAACTCCTCAACCGACAGCCCACATCACGTCAACCAACCCCCAATACGGGGACGTGGTGAGACTGACTACCAGTTGCCTGTACAGTAATGTGAGAGGGCTAAGAGGAAAAATAGCTGAATTTAGATACCTACAATCACAGCTGAACTCCAAAATCATAATACTGACGGAGACCTGGCTAACCCCTACGGTGGCAGACAGCGAAGTCAGTATAAATGATATGATCCTAGTCAGGCGAGATAGGGACCTGAAAGAAGGAGGTGGAGTCGCCATATACGTCGACAAACAGCTCAGATGTGTCCACGCAAGGCACCCTCCCCTCACTGAGCTCCCTGACTCCATATGGTGCCATTTCACCGTTGGGTACTGCAAATATCTAGTGGGCAGCATTTATCGATCACCTTCATGTGGAGCAGACCACAAACAGGTGCTGCTGAATACAATTTCAGCGACACAAGACATGGGTTATGATCAAATTGTCATAGCTGGCGACTTCAATGCCCCATCTCTTAACTTGATGACGGGATATGCCCATGATAGATTTGATCGAAATCTGCTGCATACCATCAGGGAGGCCGCTTTCACTGAAAATGTCAGAATGGATACTAGATGGGGCCCAGATGGGAAGTCTTCTAGACTGGATTATGTGCTCACTAGTGACCAGCTACTAGTGGAAAACGTTCAGATCATGACTCTCATCGGTAGTAGTGATCACGCGGTCATAATATTCGGCATAGTCCTCCGCGAGCGTTTACAGTGGGACAATACACAGCCCTATCTGTGTTATAACAAAGCCAATTACACCAAAATACGAAGACTTTTGTCTGAAGCAAATTGGCCAAAAAATTGGACAGAGCTTACAGTAGAAGAACACTGGAGAATGGTAAAGGAGATCATTCACCAGGCGGTTTCAGACACTGTTCCTTTAGTCATACCAAAAGCTAGAAAGCAACGTTCATGGCTAAAAAGGGGGACACAACGCCTTCTGCAGGCGAAGCGAAAAGCCTGGTTTGCGTAGCGAGTATCGAAGAGTCAACCCGAACATGAAGTGTACCTTGAACTCAGAAATCGATGTAACATACGAGTCCGGAGTGATAGAAGGACATTTCAGAGAAACCTCGCCAATAAGCTTCTCGTGAACCCCAAAAGCCTACACAGGTTTATGTCTGAAAGAAAACCGACCAACCAGGGAGCTTGCAATCTAGTGGGTTCTGATGGGAAATCTCTTACTAGTCTTGAAATGGCAGAGACATTCAGTCTAGCCTTTCACAGGCAACTAAACAGTAACGAGGATTTTACCCCCACAAAACATCAAGATTACAATGGAAGACCAACGTGCGAAAACCTGCTGGGTACATTTCAAATTACCCCGGCTACGGTACTCGTAAAATTGGGAAAGTTGGCTTCGGGAAAGTCTGCAGGCTGCGATGACATAAGACCATCCGTCCTGAAGCAGTGTTCAGAAAGTCTCTGCCAACCCCTAAGTGATCTGTTTCAACACTCCTTTGATGTAGGGAAACTTCCATGCGAATGGAAACGAGCCATCCTATCCCCTATCTTCAAGGGTGGTGACCGGCAAAATGCGACCAGTTACAGACCAGTTGCGCTACTTCCAGTGATATCGAAGATATTGGAAAGTCTCATTGACGACCACATGAGAAAACACTTCGACGGGACTAACCTACTCCATGAAGCACAGCACAGTTTCAGGAGGGGAAGATCCTGTGTGACGAATCTTCTACTAGCTTGGAACGATTGGACACTATCCTGGGATGTAAAGGTAACAGTCCATGTGATCTTTCTCGACTTTGCGAAAGCATTTGACACAGTTCACCATGGTATGCTCCTTCAAAAAATAAGCAAGGCGGGTGTTTCTGGAGCACTTCTCGCATGGCTGATAGATTACTTAGGCGAGAGAGAATTCTGGACCGAAGTCAACCGCATCCGATCACCCTGGCACACCTCGGCATCAGGGGTTCCTCAGGGTTCTATCTTAGGGCCGTTGATGTTTTTGATTTTTATCAACGACCTGCCCTGTCAACTGAACTGCTCTGCGCTTCTTTACGCTGACGACGCAAAGATTTGGAGAGCAATAAACTCATCGGAAGGCTCAGACAGATTGCAGGCTGACCTGCAAACTCTGGAAGACTGGGCTCTGACTAACGGAATGCCTTTCAACCTAAAGAAGTGCAAAGTAGTGCAAATTCATTCCGGCAGGTCACAGAGTGTAAATTACACCCTTGGTGGCCAGAACTTGAGTTGTGTGTCATCAGAACGCGATCTAGGTCTTATTTTAACAGAAAAGCTAGACACCAGTATAAATCACACGAGGGACGTCGCCAAAGCTTACGCTACTTTACACTTTATGCATAGGCAGCTGGGAGCTCTTACTCCTGAACTATTCTTAACGTTGTATACGACATACGTGAGGCCACTCCTTGAGGTGCATAATATCATTGCTCCTCCGCTACTCAAAAGGGATGCTAACATTCTAGAAAGTGTCCAGAGACGAGCGACAAAATGGGTGGTCGGCCTCCGCAACAAATCATACGAGGAAAGACTGAAGAAATTAAGTCTTTTCACACTTAGTTGCCGTAGTCACAGGGGAGACCTCATCACCGTCTATAAGATCTTAAATGACCAGGCCCACCCTAATAAAAGCATCCGGCCATTAAGTGATTATAGGCTTCCACGAGGTAACCCGCTAAGGATAGCACACCAGAGACCAAAGACTCGAGTGCGTTCACATTTCTTTTCGCTTCGAGTTTGCCGTCTCTGGAATGCCTTACCGGCGGCCGTGACTACAGCGCCATCTGTGGAGACTTTCAAGCGGAAGCCGGACAATCATGCAGAAATGCATGGTTTGTGTCTCAATGGCTTATCCTCTTAAAATTTGAAACCACATTGTCAATGGATAAGCATACCAGCTAAATTCCCACGACCCGTTCTGTCTTCTCTCACTGTAACGACTACTCTATCTTTTCTTTGGTCACCTTTATTATTTTACTTATCTCAACCTATATTATCTACACTACAACCTATTATTATTACTATTCTACTTTTATGACTACACCGAATGACCAACGGGTGTTAGGTCAAACTCCATTCACGGCAGCAACTGAGTCCTAACATACTGCACACTACAAACCACATCTTGACCAATCCTCGCACCACTCCTCTTGGAGTCTACCAGAGCTAAAGCAGTCGAGTGGCGAGATTTACTGCGCATAAGTTCACCGAAGATCTGGAACCTCTACCTCACAATCAAGAGGCGAGCACAAAGAAATCAAATTGGTTTACACTAGCTCGCAAAAACGATAATGGATATTGTAAATTGGTAAAAACAATATTGTATATTGGAGTTGTTTTTGGCGGTTGCTCAAACTAAATCGCTACGTGATGTGTGTTGTAGGGCCAAGCGTCAAGCAATGATCTGAAACAGAGAGCAAAGCGCACGTTAGCAGGGTGATCACACAAGTTCGTTAGATGCTGTCTCCTGGACGGGAGAAGTATTCTTGGAAGCCTCAGTGAGTCGAGACTTAGACGAAGAAAGGTCTTTCGTTGGCAGGCTTTCCAGTAGACGTGTTTTCCGCTTCTTCCATGGATGCCGGAGTATGCAGCCCTTTTACAGAGGTCGAAGAAGTTGTTTTCAGCAAGTTCCTGCAAGGTGTCGACTTCCGTTACAGGAAAGACTTCATCTTGCATACTCCGGCATCCATGGAAGAAGCGGAAAACAGGGCAAGTCTACTGGAAAGCCTGCAAACGAAAGACCTTTCTTCGTCTAAGTCTCGACTCACTGAGGCTTCCAAGAGCACTTCTCCTGTCCAGGAGACAGCATCTAACGAACTTGTGTGATCACCCTGCTAACGTGCGCTTTGCTCTCTGTTTCAGATCATTGCTTGACAATTGGCCCTACAACACACATCACGTAGCGATTGGCCCTACAGTGTTGATGCTTGTTTGTGGTGATCACCCAAATAAAACAAATTTGATGCAGTGTAATGGAGTAATTTCAAGAAAATGCAACATTTCCCCCAAGTGCTTCCTGTGTTTTACAGGTGACTGGGTGGAAAAGTGTCTCCAAACCATTCAAAGTACCTTCTATATGAGTCGACTCTCTTTGCGGAGTGAAGTCGTTTCGGAAACCAAGTGAGTTTAACTATCAATGTGATGACTTCGTAGGTGCCATATGAAGCTTCAATCACAGATTGGAAGCTACTGTTATTTCTATTATCTGACATGTCCACTGATTGGTTTCTTTCTGTTCTTTTCAGGTCTGTTGGTTTCAGCGTTGAGGTTATACCGAATGTGTAAATGAAACAAGTGGCAAATAAAATGATGATATGTTTATAACTGTTTTCACTTATACTAACGTGCGCCTTGATGTGTCTTTGGAGTTATATATTAGTGGCGAACCCATTCACTAGGTCCCAGAAGACACAAGTCTAGTTAAAATCTTGTAGATTCGTATCAGTTCACTCTGTAGCCGTAAAAGCAGGTGGTAGAATTGTACGTTAGCTGACAGATGTCTTAGGAAAGCTGTTGCTAGTCATTCGATTTCCATGATTGAGAGGACCTGAAGTACTACGTGCTGTTAGACTGCTGGAATATTGAGCAGGCTACTCGGAAGGATAGTTGAATGTGTGACGCGTGGCTACGAATCTAAAAGTTGCGACAGCTGGCTAGGACTTCAGCCAACGTACTGGTAGGTAGTAATCGATGTCTCAGATACTGGTTTTGCATGGTAACGCGAAAGTTTTTATGGAACTGGGTGGGGTGATTTGTAGAACAGAAAATACTTCCTGACCTCAAGGAACTCATCACATGCCTAAACCTGAAGGTGGTATTCGATGTCGATAAGTCGAAGTGCAGACAGGAAATTTCAAGACAGATTAGTATAGTAATTTTGAGGAAATGCAGCCAAATATCGACATTTTCCCTAAAAGCCACAGGAATTTTCAAAGTACACTAAGATTTGCTCAAAGTTATCTTATCTGCGAAGGTGTTGATGTTAAAGTGGGTGCTGACAAAGGGCACAGTGTTAATCTTGGTCATGCGGCGCTATAACAGGCCTGGGTGGTAACGACCATTGTCCAACATAGATGTGAAGTGTCACCGCTCTCGCTCAATTTTGTCATAGAAGTACTGATAGGTATGAATTTGTGTGACCTAGTGTATCTAGTCGTGCGGACACTAATGCATTGTTTGCGACAAGCTTGATTTACTCGTCCTAAGACACCTGTTTACGAAATCCAAGCACAACATATTTGTCAAGTGACCAAAAGAATAGGGATCTAATTGCATTGAGTTCGTCTGAGGTCTGCTTGCTTTCCTGTTGTTTTATCCATCAAGAACTTCGATATGAAGAGATGAACGCCGCTGATTGCATCAGATCACTTTCGGTAGTTTACACTTACACTGTCTAGAATCGTAGTCACTGACTTTATGGTAAACCTAATGTGTGTATGTGATTATTCCATGAATACCATATTGGCCTTAGCAGCAGGAACGGAGTTGCTAATATGTCTGTGCGTCCCTAAGATAAATTCATAAGTGTGGATATGAGCCTGTCTGTTCACTGTTCGACATGATCAGTCATTTTTCCTATGAGGTGAGATACCTATTATCATTTAAGGGTAGATCGAGGATTTTTGAGCTGTAAAGGAAGTCTTGCTCTGCTCTGTTTCCCCATGATTCAGTTCTTCTCACTGAATGATTTTGGATTTTACGGATATGGATTTTTTTTAATTAGCCTGACAGGAAATACATTTTGTCCAGGGTTCGCTTAGTCTCTAAGGTTTACATTACAAGTTTTCGAAACATTGTTAGTCGTATGTTGTGGAAATCACATATAACACAACTAGAGCATACAGTTTACAATTTATTTAGGATAGTAGCCTATATGCCTGTGTTAATCCTTTCGATTTGTGGCACACAGGAGGTCCAGTCTCGCCTTGAATGAATCAACGGATGTTGCTGATACGACGTGTTCCGGTAGGGAGTTCCAATGGTTCACAATTCGATGCGGAAAACGGATCTCCAAACGCAGACGATTCGACCGTGGTTTTTGAACCTTGATGCGATGTCCTCGCAATTGGTTGGTGCTAGAAGGAAGAAATAATTTAGACAAATTCGCTCCAAAATCATTTCTCAGGATACGGTATGCTAGTATTAAGTCACCCCTAAGTCGTCTGTATGACAGTGGAAATAAACCCAGTCGACTTAACCTCTCCTCCTCATATGAGACGGTTGAGAAACCCTTGATTAGCTTAGTTCCTTCTCTTTGCACCCTTTCTAATAAGTCTATTTCGTATTTGAAACACGGGCTCGCTGCCTGGATCCCATATTCCAAATGAGGTCTGATATAAGTCGGATATAATATACGAAATATATCAGCGTCAATGTTCGCAAAAGCCTTGCGTATGGCCCATAATATTCGAAAACTTTTAGTGGCTGCAGCTCTACAGTTTGTTGCTGTTTTCAAGTCATGCTGCACAACCACTCCCAAGTCCTTGTACTCAGTGACCACTGGGAGAGTAATGCCATTCATTGAGTAATTGCGCACGTGACTATGAGATACATGCATAACTACACTCTTGCTTAAGTTAATCTCCAAGGCCCAGTGCTTACACCAATCACTTAACAAGTTTAAATCTTCCTGCAAAGCAAGTTGATCACTGTCATCGTGTAAAGGCCTCCATATCTTGATGTCATCAGCAAACAGTAAGCAGGATGACTTAACTACCGATGGAATCTCATTACCATAAATCAGGAAAAGAAGTGGGCCTAGAATTTTACCCTGAGGAACGCCACTCTTAACCGATTCTCATGTTGATAAAACCCCGTTAACTCGTACTCTTTGTCTTCTGTCCTTTAGAAAGTCTTGAATCCAGTTGGCAATCACTTTACTGATTCCCAGACTACCTAACTTTACTAGAAGACCTGAATGAGAAACCCTGTCAAACGCCTTGCTAAGGTCGATGAATATGGCATCCACCGGTATATTAGTATCAGCTGAGCTTGCCCAACTTTCTCTGGTCAAAAGAAGGTTGGTCAAGCAAGAATGACTTGCTCTAAAACCATGCTGTTCCACAGCGAAAAGTTTGTTCCCTTCAATGAACTGAATGATGGCATCACGAATTATTCTTTCTAGTAGTTTAACAACAATACTAGTCAAACTAACAGGACGATAGTTCTGAACTAAGTTTCTAGATCCAGTTTTTAAGACCGAACTAATGATGGCATCTTCCCAGTCTCTTGGACATTTAGACTGGTCCAGAGACATATTGAAGATTACCGAAAATGGCTCGGCTATGTTTTCAGCCAAAGCTGTTAATATACGTGGGTGGAGTTCATCAGGGCCACTGGACTTACCAGGATTGAGCCTTAGAAGCCACTTTAGGACAGTATCCTTTCCAATGTATAAGGGTGCTATTTTCAAGTTACCTTCTGGAAAAGTTACAAAGCTGGTATCAATATTATCAAAGAATACTTGACTAAAGTGCTTGGACAAAACCTCAGCCCTAGTCAAGTTATCCTCAGCCATTTTTGTCTGGTCATCTTCAAGCATAAGAGGTGGGATAGCATCACTCTTACGTGTTTTTCTCTTGATATATGAAAAGAGTCTTTCTGGGCAGCCTGGTGAACTTTTAACTAACTAGGTTTCGTAAGCTATCCTTGACTGGTGAATCAAAGTTTTACACTGGTTTCTGGTTACACAGTATTTCAGCTGGAACTGCTGTAGCCCAGTAGAAACAAAGAGATTCCAGAACCTTTTTCTCCGTCTTAGGAGTGTTATAGCTTTTCTACTTATCCATGGTGGCCGATTTGTTGGCCTTTTAGGAACCCTCCAAGGAATGAAATCAGTGTACGTGGATGGGGAGTGGTATTTGTTAAAATGACATTAAGTTCCTGTATGATACTATTAGGAGTTAATCTCTCTCGTCTCATTGCTTTTTATAACTACAGATAAAAATATCTCCGTTTTACTTTTTCGCTGTCTACTTGTGTTTCGAGTATTCGTTGAGAAATTTCCCGGTCCTAAATTGAAAGAATAGTGCGTGATGCATGGACGTACACTATCCAATCTAGACATACACGTTTCTGTTTAGGCAAGATTTATCCTAGCACTTCTGCAAGTGTGCTGCTCTCTTCGTTGCATATTTTCTTTAATATAATCACCACGTATTCAGTAAACTAACAGAAGTACTGTTTAGTTTTAGAAATAAAAATGTGGAAGGTTGATCAGGGAAGTAATCAGTTGGTGTTCCACTTCTCTGCGAGAAGACTGATTTAATACTGATTTCTTACGATGCTCACTCAAATGAAATAACTGTTGAACACTAACGATAACTTTACTCAGTACAATGCAGCTGAGTGAAGTATAGGATCCTCCAATTAATGAACAATATTTTGAGAAGTTACTCCTTGAAAAACATCTTCACGGAAAACAGTCGTCACCAAAGACATGCTAAAATTAAAAAGATTAATAACGTTGAAATGAGTGGGCAAATAATTAAGAAAATGTAACAATTTTCCCCTAGAAAATGTACACAGAACAAAGTTGGAGATGAAGCTAAGCTCATTGGCTAGACACTCAGGTTCTAGCCGATAGGTACAGAGTCGACTCCTTTTCTGCTCACTTCAGCCTGGACAACCGGGTAGTGTCACCAGCCATCTCATGAAAAGTGTGGCTGTTAGCCTGATACATGAAAAATCTGTTCCGGGTAACTGAGCTTGAACAAACACAGAGCAAAGTATGAGTAGGTTTAGCTATTCAGCTGTGGAATTGCAGGTAGTCGCCACTATTACCTAGAATGTTCATCCATAATAAGGATTTATTGGGCTCCGCTAATACCCTTTATAGTTCCACGCATTGTATCGAATTTCGGTAAATACACAATAGACACGGAACAAAGAGTACTCTTTTCGATAAATTCATCATCAGGTTCTACAATTATATATACATTATAGGGAATGAATGAATTAGTCTTATGAACGACATTAATGTTGCTGTTTAAATAACGTCAAATCAATAATATTGATAAATTGCGGCTGAACAGCATCAACATAAAACAAACTGAATGTCAGAAGAATTAGGAAAGGTAATAGTACAAACTCATGAGTTTATATTCTCTACTGAGGGCCAGGGCAGTAATAGGGGCTAGCTGGACTTGCTTCTTTTGAACACAGAGCACTGGTTGTTTGAGGCCAATTGCAATAGCCTCTGCTGTTTGGAGCATGCGGTGCTTCGACGATTTTGGTAGTTTGTTAGGCACCCGGTATATTATGGAGAAGGATTCGTCTACGCTGGCTTTGTGACTGGTCGGTTTGCACCAGATGGTCTAATATCGAGCTGTTAATACTTTTAACTACACCTTTACTTAGCCATAGTGGGATATGTTCTCGAGCACGAAAAATCAAGTTCCTAGAGCAACGGCCAACATAACTCATTCCAGCACAAATGCAGTTGAATTGGCAGATACAATATGAAGTGGCTAGTCTAAGTACTTCATCTTTCAGTCGAGGTAGCACCATCGATCGTGTAGAGAATAATACGTGTAGTTCGCCGCCAGCATTAAAAGTCCTTTGAACTGATTTTCTTAATTTCTTCGTAATTAACTCACTTGGTATATCGCCCATGAATTGCAGTCGTATATAAAGTGGCTTCTTGTTTACAGATAGTGGGTAGTCCTTTTCCGCCGCTTTCTTTGTCATGTGTTTCTTGATAAATTTGTCAGGATAAGCATTTTCGATCAACCAAAGTATCATATACAATGTCTAATTCATCTTCAATTACTTCTTCTGAGCATATAGCTCTAACGAACTCTGTGGCTGAGGAGTTTCTTCACTAAATTCCTTTTGTATTTGATGGGAACGAAGCTATGAAAGTGTATAGGGAGGAATGATGAAATGCATTAGTTGGAAACTGAAAATTTGCAGCTCTATTATGTTTATGTCAAACTGAAGAGTTTTCTCAGCATCTGCTAAGACATTAAAGAATCAATAAAGACAAAAGGATCCATGTGAACCAAAACAAAGAATTTCTAAAATATTAACTACAGTACCGTCAATATTTTAATAATAATAATAATAACAATAATTAGTGTTCTAAGTGGAATAGGGTCTCGACAGCGGCACGTCTCCATTACACTCGGCATCATTTACTTACTATTGACTCTAGGACTTCCCACAAACTTCTATTGCCTGTACACATGATTTCCATGTCACACTCGGACCTCCGACTCGTTGCTTCCCACCTAAGGGTCTGGCATGTGGTGTTATCGCTCAGCGGTCTCTTCAGCCTATGTTGAACCCATATTGGTTGAATCTATATTGGTTGACCCGAATAAGATAAAAAACCTAGAGAATAGTTCAGCTATCGCAAACACTACACGCAATTGCACACAACCATACAATAGGATGATGGGATAGGATGACAGTTTTAAAATCTAATCTCACAGGGTATAGGGAGAGATTGATAACAGAAGCTTTGTATATCGAATCAACTACAAATACATGTAATAGGAATGATTCCACACCTGTCCACCCAGATATCTGGAAAATTCTACTCCCCCTACGACAAATAGGAGAGAGGACAAAGAAAACTATAAAACTCAAGTTTCGAAGTCGTGTGATTATAATTGATGAAATGATTATGAACAGTAATAAATTTTGTTCGAAACGTCATCCAGTAAATAATACTGTTTCACTGTGTGATATACCTAATAAACAAACTAATATGGAATTACTTACTACCACAGTGCCCAAGTTTTACACATATATCAATAAGAGCTCCGATTATGATGAGGAACGAAAGCTACTCAAACGTAAACTAACAAGAGGCTTTCGTAACGACCGTGAACAGTGGTGGGCGACAAAAGCGAAAGAGATGGAAAAGGCATCGGCGACTGCTAATACCAGTGTTATTGACTACTAATCTAGAATATTCTATGTATATAAACATGCATATATAGATATAATTGCAGAGCCAGAAGAGGAGGAAATTCTCGATAAAGAAAATATTTATTCTTTGCTGACTCAATTATATTTTGTCTTTGATAAATGTCTGAATAAATATAGAGAAACTTTGAAATGGGAAATTTTCAATGAAGAATGACAACAATTCAGTGGGTGAAACATTATACACACACAGTGTTACGCGCATAATACAGCCAGCTAAAAGACTTAGAATTTGATAATTAAAAAAAAACAAACACTCTAACTCTAAAACATAAGTTTATTGAAAATCAACCACTAAAATATTATTGCACGTATGTATGTAAGTATATCAAATAAATATGTGTGTAGGTAAGTGAAGCAAGCGAGATTAGTTTGATGTTTCATTTAAAGCGCGAGATGAGTAGAGTCGAGATCCTTGAAATAGCGAACAGTTTTCACATGAAGTTCCATAGTTGCATCTTCGTCGACAACAAATATAACATTTTTATGAAGCTAGACAAATAAATAAATAAAAGGGTAAAATTGAAATAAAGTTAATCATTATATACATTATATATACATATACATTATTATATACATCGCTAAAAGCTGGAAAAGCAGCAGGACCAAATGGAATCCCAGCAGAAGCATTGAAAATGGACTCAGAGACAACAGCGGAATTGATGACGCCATTACTGGAGAAGGTGGCAAAGAAGAAGGCAAAGTAGCCGAGGATTGGAAGAAAGGATACTTATTCAAACTACCAAAGAAAGAAGACTCAAGTCAATGCAAGAACTGGCGCGGAATTATACTCCTGTCCATCCATCCCAAGCAAAATACTAAGCCGCATCATCCTGCTGGAGAGAATCAAACACGCCGACCTGGATGAAAAACTTCGACCGGAACAGACTGGCTGGATTCAGGAGAAACAAGTCATGCATTGATCAGATCGCCACATTACGGATCATCATTGAACAAAGCCTGCTTGAAATGGCAGTCACCTCTCTATCTCACTCAACTTCATCGACTTTGAAAAGGCATTCGACAGCGTCGATCGAGAAGTGATTTGGCAACTACTTTGCTAGTATGGGGTGCCACCGACAATTATACATCTCATCCAACAGCTAGTTGTAGGACAATGCTGCATGCCAAGTAATCCACAACTGGAAACTTACGGATTCCTTCGAAGTGAGGACAGGAGTAAGACAAGGCTGGCTGCCTACTATCGCCAATGATTTTCCTAATTGCAGTAGACTGGATAATGCGACAAACAGCGGGCAATCACGAAACAGGCATTAAATGGACCCACACAAAATGCTTGGACGATCTGGACTTCGCCGATGATATATGTCTGATTTCCCACAAACTGGAAGATATGCAAGCGAAAAGCAACAAGTCGGCAGAAGAAGCATCAAGAGAAGATAGGATGAATGAACATAGAGAAAACAGAGGTGATGAAGATTCCTGGGCAACACTACCAACAGCAACAACAACTGACAAAGATCAACATAAATGGGAGGAACCTGAAAGAAACAACCTCCTTCACCTGCCTACCTGGGAAGCATCGTTTCAACTACAGGCCGACGGAACTGAGGAGGATATCAAAGCAAGAATCGGAAAAGCAAGACAAGCTTTCACTACTCTCAAGTCTGTGTGCAGGTCAACAGACAGCACTCAGCATGAAAATGAAAGTAAGATCCGGATTTTCAACTCCAATGTGAAGTCAGTCAGTGCTACTATACGAATCAGAGACTTGCGCCGCGCGTCATAAAGAGCATCTCAAACAAACTACACACCTTCATCAACAGCTGTCTTTGCTCAATACTCAAGATCAGACGGCCGGCCAGAAAAGATCAGCAACAGGGTGGGATCTCTGGCAATGAGCGAAGGAACACAGCAGGAACCGATTGTGAAACAAATAGGCAGGAACAATTGCAGGTGGATTGGATTGTGGCCATACTCTGAGGAAACAAACCATCAAGTGAGTGATATCACTAGACAAGCCATTGCTCGAGTGGAACCCGACTGAATGGGAAGTGGCGAGTTGGTCGTCAGTGCAAGGGTGAGGGTGACATGGAGGAGGTCATGTGAAGAGGAGATGATGAAAGCATGTGGACAGACTTGTAGCCAGGTGAAGACTCTAGCAGAGAACCGAACGCAATGGAGACGTTTGGCTAGAGCCCTATGTTCCTCTAGGAATTAAAGGAAACAATGATAATAATTATATACATCGGAAAAACATCTCGAGAAATCAAAATCAGAAGAAATGAACACCGTAGAGCATCTCTTCTACCACCGAGAAATCTGGTTGAACTACAAAAACTTGAAAAAAAAATAATCATCAGCCATAGATCTACATGCTATAGAATCAGGCCACAAAATTGATTTTGACAATATTGAAATCGTCATCGAGAAAAACTTCAGAAATTACATAGAACGGCTAATATCATCAGAAGCACTTCATATCAAGTGGAATCCAAATTGTCCGAATTGAATAGGAATGATGGACTAAGAGAGAATTTGACCTGGTTACAACACCCACCCTCCCACTCCCCCATGAAGTGACAAAATCAACACGAATGTGATAAGCAAGTTCACTATGTAAACATACACTGCTTTTATAATTTTTACACACTGAACAAATCCAACAGTCATCTACAGTTGGTTTTCTTATCTTTACCAATTCACCAACTTGACAACGTTAAATGACCCCAGACAGACGAACGATGATCAATTTAGTAAACTTTGTTTTGATATCATAACAGATGTACTACCACCTTTGTTATTTGGTTTAGTGATCTTCATTTTTATTTTGACTTTCAATATGTCCTCCTTTTAACTTGACCTAAGTAGTCTGTTTCCTCACCCCTTAACTCTTTGTTATATATATATGCTGAGTGGATTTTGTAAATTCCGGTTTAATAATACTTTGATAAAGCTATTAGCAGCAGCATTAAATAGCGAAACGTCAGTAAAAGCGACAATATCGTTTTCCTCTTTTTCATTCATTCATCGGGAAATACAAGAAAACAACCTTTATTATAATGGATTAATTATTATTAATGGCTGAAATTAGTGTTCACCTGTAGAGCAGATACTGTCCACATATGATTAACGCCTTCTTCAATCGCTTTGTGTAAGGCCAGAGCTTTCGAGGCTCCAGTAACCAATATCATAATTTCCTCTGCATCCATTATAGTTCCAACACCAACAGTTAAACAGCGTTTAGGAACCTGATTTATTGCATGATAGATAGATAGATAGATAGAAGGGAGACAATTCCTTTCATCAGATGAAATACAAACGCGTAAATTTTATATCTATCTATCTAAAATATAAACAGAATTAATAATATAACACATTCATAAGAAAATTTATTGTGTTATTGCTACTAGCGTCGAGTATACGTCAGTAAGCCATCATCGCTTATTTCGTTGGCTTCTCATCAGGTTAGCTAAGCAGCGTCTGGAATAATAATAATAATGATTAACTTTACGTACAGAAACAATGTTAACATACTTGCAGATTGTTTAATTCAACTTTGGATTTTACTGTCAATTGATTGATTGAACCGAAGTGCTTGGTCTTAGGTTGACATGTCTGTCGGCTTCTTGTGCTTCAGATGCTTCGACGATGTCTGGCGATGTATTATAAGTAAAACTGGTGGATGGTGACTAGCAGTGGAGTCCAGGATGCATCCCATTCAGGAGTCTAATCCCATGCCCCAACATCGTGGGAGCATGTACACACAAGAAGCCGACAGACATGTCAACCTGAGACCAAGCACTTCGGTCCAATCAATCAATCGACGGGAAAATCTAAAATTGCCCAAGCAGTCTAGGGAATAACTCTTTGACGTTTGAAACTATGGACACTACTGGATTCAAGCCTTTGTGGGAACATAATCACTCACTGCGGAATACAGGTATATGCAGCAGTTGACGAGTCCCAAATAGGACGAAACGCGCATCCTGGCTGTATTCCACTGCTAGTCACCATCCACCAATTAAATACTACTAATTTATTGTAAATGTCACAATAATTAACAGCATTTGACAGCAGGCATCAAACTGAGCAAACAAACAGTACTCAGAAATTACCTTTGTAATGAAAGCTTCTGTTTTTAGGAAGTTCAAGTTTGAATGAAGTAATTCATGCCAGAATAAAATGGCAAAAGAGTTACGCAATAAAGACAAGATATGAATAAGATGATGAGTAAGTAACCAGTAAATAATTATAACTATCAATCTGTCGGGCTCCGAGTGGAACATACAGCCTCAACAACACATTTTCACTTCCTTCTAGTTTCTACTGTCCTCTTCAGAGGGATCTACGCCTGATCATAATCTCTCATCTACTCCTCCAATTCACACAATCTCCTCCGTGTCATCTTATCACTAACGACTCATTCATCGGTTTCCATTGGAATTCACAGTAGTAATCTGGTGGGCAATGTTTTACACCATACACACATTACCTAAATGAACCTAAATGCATTTTTCAAGAGTCACTTCGTAGGAATTCGGTCGATTTCAGGTTTGATCACGGAATGATATCATTTGGGTAGAACCATTGGGAACTAGGGAGTACTGGACAGCTGTTTTGTTCTAGTTTGGTACTCATCGGCAGCATGTACCCACTGCCAGAACCTCTCGATTATAAGGCAAGCTCGTATACCTTTCAGCCACTCACTGGGACCCTATTCACAATGGCCCTCGAATTCTAACTTCTACAAACTCGTGACTTTAGCGCGACTGGTTACGGGACGAACTTGCCTGTACTCCTAGTGAGAGTGGTGACCAATGGAGTCCATCCAGTCTGAATGATGATTCAGTTCTCGCCGATGACATTGGTAGTAGAAGTTAGAATTCATGGGCTGGCCACTGAATCGCGTCTCAGTGAGTCATTGAATGGTATACGAGCCAACTTGCCTTGTAACTGGAAGGTCCTGAATTCGAACCTTGACGGTGGGTGCGTACTGCCGATAAGTTCCAAAACAGGACGAAACAGCTCTGTCCATTACTCCCAGTTAGTTTTTTCATGATCCTGTAACTGACTGATATCAATCCATGGTGTAAGATCAATTCACTTCCCATCCTTGAATCAAGTCAACCTGTCCCGGATCAGCCTAGTGTTGTTGCAACCCAATTATCGATGCCTAACGTGTCTATCTCACCTTGTTTAATGAACTGTGTGTGTGTGTGATTTTTACATCGATCCGTTTAGTCAGACAGTTGAACTCATGACCCAATCAGAGTATTTTTGTTAACTGTTATTTTGCTGACCGATGTCTTACTTTGTACTATTCTGTCGAGTTTATTTTATTTATTGATTGGTTAATTAGCCAATGAAAATTCTATCTTTGTGCCTATGCTCTGTCTATCTCTTACTTGGGTTCATTCTTCTACTGACTGCTTACCTGAACGGTCGTGTCTGATTCCGGCTAGTTCGCAGTTTTCGCTTTAACGTTATTCCGCTCTGATAGCGCGGTACCTTGTTTTCTGTTAAGCGGTGTGCTTTGTACTCTTGAAACCGTTAAGGTTTGTTTATATATATATATATATATATATATATATATATATATATATAATTATTGATTTGTTTATTAATAGTATCGTAGAAATAGTGACCGGCTTCTGGACAGCCGGGACAGCCTTTATCTACGCGTGACTTAATTTCAAGCGATATTGCGCTTACACTAAGTCTAATGCAAAATACCTCGGTCTAATTCTATCTTCCGATCTTACTTGGACATCTCTCATATCCTAACGATTTCTAAGAAAGTGTTCTGTCTAACCTATTACATTAAGAAACTAAGACAATCTGGAAATTTTTCACAATTATCAGCAACGTTGTACGTTCCTTGATTATACATCTGCTTTCGACTCTGTACCTAGAGGCCTATTGTTAGACAAGCTGAGCCTTACACAAACTGAGTCCTGGGCTATCAACTGGCTACACTCTTACTTCTCTAATAGGATGCAGTACACGGTATATAATGGTGTATCTTCCTCTCCTTTGCTTACTGAAGCTGGAGTTCCTCAGGGTGCTGTTCTCTCTCCGTTTCTCTTTTCCTTCTTCTTACATGATTTACCTCTCTCAGATGAAATCAACTTCGTCAAATATGCAGATGACCTGTCTGTATCGTTTCCTATTAAGTCTCAGTCAGACTGTCTCAAATTAAATAGCTTCCTGTCGGACATCAGTCGGTGGTCCAAACTAAATGGTCTCATGCTGAATCCCTCAAAATGACAGACTGTTGACTTCTACCTTAGGCATAAACGAGATCTACAAACACTAGTAAGTTCTCATGAAAACTGTTGCATTGAGGGGACTAAAATTGAAACTAAGTCTAATGCAAAATACCTCGGTCTAGTTACCTCTTCCGACCTTACTTGGACATCTCATATCCTAACGATTTCTAAGATAGTGTTCTGTCTTACCTACTATATTAAGAAACATAGACAATCTGGAATCACCCAACCTATACTTTCACAATTTGTCAACTCTTGTATCTTACCTATTCTATTTTACTGCTCCCCGTTAGTCTTTCCTGGTCTACTGAAAAAGGACTATACCATCCTGAGAAGGATGTTGAAGGTAGTCAGTAGGACTAGTGGTGTAAAACTCAGTCAGCTCGTCACTACTTTAGTTGATAGGCATCTGAATACATGCGAAAAATGGTCAAAAACCATACTCTCCGACCACCAACACCCACTCTACTCCCAACTCTCGCCTTGTATCTCATCAAGTAAAACCAGAAATCAGTATAAAATAATCTATGCTCGTGCAACCAAGTACAGGAACTCAACGATCCCATACTTGGCCCGTGTTCTAAGCGACAGAGACAATGTTAAGCGCGAAACCTATGACTTGCTCTGTTGTTAATACCATAGTTTTAGGCTCTTTTGTTTCTCTATGCATTCTATAGTGAACTCCTTCCTAAATACATTTAGCTACCTAACTTATTCTGCTAAATCTGTAGTTGTTGCTTTGTTTAAATTAATAACATTGGCTTACTTTTTTGTGCTCTACTGTATTCCTTCTTTTGTGTATCCACTGGTTCCGACTATATTAGCACTATGAGTAGTACAAAATTGTCCTGTCATTAACCATCATGTAATTATTAGTTTTGTGGCTGTTTTTTCTTATTTTTCTATACTTTTCGGCAATATTAAACTGACAATCTTGGTTGTGAACGCCATTGTCACCACCTTAAAAATTTTGTATTATTCAGGATTACTCACACTACCACCAGAAACACTGCATTAGACTTTGGTAGACTTTTGTAATTTTTCGCATTTTTAAAAGATTATTTTGTGTTTTTCCTGTCCTTTTTTGCTGTTGGTGTCTTTATATTAATTATTTTTTTGAAATACTCCTTTTAAATGTTTAATAAAATTAGATGCAAATATTGTAGATATGTGCTGAAAATTCCATACTGTACCACTAGTACTGTTTCTGGAATAAAGCAAATTATTATTATTAATATTAAACGAAGCTTATAACACTCTACCTTAGTGATATCATTTCCAAAAAATCTTGCATTAGCAGCGACAGTCTCTCTTGTCAATGTTTTAACACGTGTACGTGACACTAGACTAGAACCAGGTTCATTGAAAGCAATATGACCATCTGAGCCCATTCCACCGACAAATAGATGAATGCCACCAGCGTTTTTGATCTCCATTTCAAAAGATTCACATTCTCTATCAGGATCACCGGTTGTTCCATCGAGTAGGTGGACATTTTTCGGATCTATATCTATGTGCTGAGAAAATAATAATAAGGACTGGATAAAGTGAATAATTTTCAAAAATAAATATGTATGTCACGCAAAAATAGGCTACTGGATAAGTAAGCTAGGTATCACAGTTTGTACACTATTTAGTAAACATTTAAAATAGTACACCTTTCCGACCGATAGCTGCTACCGTGACGTGGTGGTCGGGCTTGCATATCGCAATGACCCAATGAGCTGCACCGGCTGGAACTTATGTTCCTGTAGATCCTACCAAGCAGCTACCCAATCCAATACTATGACTCAAAGTAAATCACAAAATATTATGCCGGATCGGTCGGGGCCCGGATTAACAACGACCGTGCTTCCTGCTGCTGTGTCATAGGGCAGGAGGAACTGACGAGGATCGGAAAAGCAAGACAAGCTTTCACTACTCTCAAGTCTGTGTGGAGGTCAACAGACAGCACTCAGCATCAAAAATAAGATCCGGATTTTCAACTCCAATGTGAAGTCAGTCAGTGCTACTCACTATACGGATCAGAGACTTGGCCAGCACGTCATAAAGAGCATCTCAAACAAACTACACACCTTCATTAACAGCTAGCTGTCTTCGCTCAGTACCACTCAAGATCAGATGGCCGGCCGGTCGGTAGAAAAGATCAGCAACAGGGTGGGATCTCTGGCAATGAGCGAACCAACACAGCAGGAACCGATTGTGAAACAAATAGGCAGGAAGAATTGCAGGTGGATTGGATTGTGGCCATACTCTGAGGAAACAAACCATCAAGTGACATCACTAGACAAGCCATCGCTCGAGTGGAACCCGACCGAAAGGGAAGCGGCGAGTTGGTCGTCAGTGCAAGGGTGAGGGTGACTTGGAGGGAGGTCATGTGAAGAGGAGATGATGAAAGCATGTGGACAGACTTGGAGCCAGGTGAAGACTCTAGCAGAGAACCGAACGCAATGGAGACGCACGACTGAAGCCCTATGTTCCTCTAGGAATTAAAGGAAACAATAATAATAATAATTATTTTTCTATGTGTTGTTCTCAAGACATTTCAAAAATGTTATCAGTAAGTGAAATGTAACTAGATTGCAATATCCTCAAGAGGAGAATTTCATCATCTGTGTGAAGAACATTCATCACAGCAGCACCAACACCACTGCTCCACAATGACCCATTGATCCACAGAAACCTCAAGGACAAGATCTCTCATCTGGCCACCTCTGTGTGCGTACATCAGTTCACCTGTTGTTGTGAAACCAGTCAGGTGCATTGGTCATCCAACGCGTATCCTGTCCAAAACTATTCGAGAACACTATCCCACAACACAACTGGAAAATCGTCATAGTGGATACATCAAGAGTGCAACCAGCGAACACCTCGTCAACAACACTCCTGCTTCGAAGTGATCTCCAAGGTGATGAAGAACAACCTACCAAAAACAATACTCTTTCGTCTCCTCTGTACTGTGCTGAAGTCTTAGCCATTCATTTATTCATTTAGATAAAAATCAGAGTTATGCAGGCATAAGGAAATCATTGAACCACCTCTACTATCATCGAAACAACCGTGTTCACTTCTACTCACTTGATGTTTGTTTGTGTGCTTATTTCCTTTTCTTCTAGCTCCTCATAATATTTGTAGTTTTCCTAGAACTCTTACATAATTCCATATTTTCCTTTGTTTCTATGTGCACGCTAATCACACTTCACTCATTGAACTACTTATTGATCTTACTGCGTAACTGTCTTGAGCTTATCCAACTTCTGTTATGTGTTGATTAACAGTAACAACAATAATCTTCACCCCCAACCCTCTATCTACAATTTGATGGCAAAGTTCTACAATACAGTCCCATGGGATGCGAACGCACGAGTGACCTTGAGCCGACCAATCAGGAAAAATGCCGATTTTTGCATAAAATTTTACGTATATTTACACAAAAAAGCATAAAAGAACATTAAACAGGATATTTTTCTCTAATATGAGGTAAAAAAATCTCCCAATTTTGTAGAGGGGTTTCAGTTTTTAAATTGAACCAATTTCTATACATATATTCATCTAGGTGACTGAAAACAACTTCGTTTTGAGATCCGTTGATCACTCTGATTCTGTTTTTCAGTCTTCCCCAGAAGCCTTCGATCGCATTGGTATGAGTACCGGTCCTGGGGTCGACGAAGTCATCGGAATGGTCGACTCGATGATGTCTATAACCCACTTGCGATAATCGGTTGTATCCTGCCCATTCATCTGTGTGAATAGTGGTGAATAATAGGGAGGAGTGTATCAGCACTCCTATCTAGAATCAGCTTGATAAACCCTTTGGGAATCTGGGCGTCATAAATTCCTAAAACCCAAACGTTATTCGCTCTAGCACGTCCCCGATTGTACTTCTTCTTGATAAGAACGGTTCCAACGACATGGACGACTACACCGACTCCTCCAAACACCTGAGTAATACTATTCATCTTCCACGAGGCTGAATCCCGACAAAATTAAAACCATTGCACAGTAGACGTCAACGTATTAGCTGTTTGAGCCGCAGTAGATCGCACCCCGGACTTTAAAACCCAGTAATTGGACAGAAACGAGATATTCATCAAAGACAATTTCGACTTTTCAATAAAAGTTCCTAGAAGACAATTAATTCAGAGTGTCACTTACCAGTACGCACACTTATTCGCGCTAGAATAATGGTAAGCTTCCTCAACCAATGACCAGCATGAGTTCAGGGTCACTGGAACATTCACAATGTCATTAGAACATTTACAATCCTGGGACTCTATTCTTGTACTTCGCCAATTTGATTTCTCATCACATTTTTGAAATGTCATCACAACAATAACCCTAACTTATTTTTATTCTTATCGGACAAACTTAGTGTAAACACACACACACACACATACAAAAGTAAGCATATATGTAGTTTTTATTGCAGAGCTGAGTGAATGAATTCGCCGCCGAAAAGAGACTGACTATTCACTGAACACTAAGTATTTGATTTTCATTAGTATCCGTAGTCTGGGGAAACTTGTATCCCATCTTAGATTTGACACCGATTTGACGCCTAGTAATGCTATTGAAACACTAGGGAGGAGTCCAAGTGAGACAAAAAAAGAATGGCCACACCCTAATAACTGATCGATATAGTTCACTTATCTAAACAAACAAAAAATTCGTGTTATTATTATTTCGAATTATTCTTAAGCCTTTTTTTCACCTTATTCCAGATAGCATGAGGTGAATTCAAGCACAGATGGATTCTGCACAGTTTGCTTCACAATCTAGAATTAAAAAACAATTTCTGGCTGATTTCTTTCTAAGTAAGCTAGAAAATGGACCTATGAACAACCACTTTATCAGAAAGTTCTCATTTTATTGCCGATATATGGATGATACCTTTATTCTTTGTGATAATCGTTCCGATAGGAGTACAATAATTACTGAATTCAATGAAGTACATTCGGCGGCTATGAAATTCACATACGCAGAGCAATCCCAAGACAGAATTGCCTTTGTGGATACCCGTCCTCCTTACGAGAAAACCAGATGGTAGCATAAAAAGAAATTCACATAGAAAAAGTACTTGGACAGGACATTATACACACTTTCACAACTTCGTTCCTATCAAGTACAAAAGAAATTTAGTGAAGACCCTTAGCCACAGAGTTAGAGCTATGTGCTCTGAAGAAGCAATTAAAGATGAATTAAGCATTGTATATGATACTTTGATCGAAAATGGTTATCCTGACAAATAGCTATCAAGAAACATATGACAAAGAAAGCCGAAAAGGACTACCCACTATCTGTAAACAAGAAGCCACTTTATATACGACTGCAATTCATGGGTGATATATACCAAGCGAGTTAATTACGAAGAAATTAAGAAAATCAGTTCAAAGAACTTTTAATGCTGGCGACAAACTACACGTCTTATTCTCTACACGATCGATGGTGCTACCTCGACTGAAAGATGAAGTACCTAGACTAGCTGGCCACTTCAAATTGTATTTATCAATTCAACTGCGCTTGTCGTGGAGCGAGTTATATTGGCCGTTGCTCTAGGAACTTGATTTTTCGTGCTCACTCGAGAACATCTCCCACTATGGCTAAGTTAAGGTGTAGTTAAAACTATTAACAGCTCGATATTAGACCATCCGGTGCAAACCGGTCACAAAGCCAGCGTAGACGAATCCTTCTCCATAATATACCGGGTGCCTAACAAACTACCAAAATCGTCGAAGCACCGCTTGCTCCAAACAGCAGAGGCTATTGCAATTCGCCTCAAACAACCAGTGCTCTGTGTCCAAAAGAAACAAGTCCAGCCAGCCCCTACTACTGCCCTGGCCAGCCCTCAGTAAAGACTATAAACAAATGAATTTGTACCATAACCTTTCCTAATTCTTCTGACATTCAGCATATTTTATGTTGATGCTGTTCAGCTGTAATCTATCAACATTATTGATTTGATGTTATTTAAACATTAATGTCGTTCATAAGACTAATTCCTTCATTCATTCAATATATTGTATATGTAATTGTAGAACCTGATGATGAATTTATCGGAAAGGGTACTCTTTGTTCCGTGTCTATTCCTTTTAAAAATTTTTAATGGGCATTTCTAATCAGTTAAAAACAATTCCGCCGGTCGGTTGCTTATTGCAGATAATGTTGGTAGCCTCAATTCGAGAATCGGGAAGGCGAGAAACATATTCATCAAACTGAAACCAATCTGGAAATCTTCGTCACTCAGCATCAACAACAAAATTCGGATTTTCAATACAAACGTGAAGTCAATTTTGCTTTACGGATCAGAAACTTGGCGGGTCACCAAGAATATTTTCAACAGGTTGCAGACCTTTATCAACAACTGTCTTCGCTCCATACTGAAGATTAGATGGCCGGAAAGAATCACAAACAAGAAGCTATGGGACCAAACGAAACAGGAACCAATCGCCCAACAAATATGCGGGAGGAAGTGGAGATGGATTGGACATTCGCTGAGGAGGCCGTTGAGTGACATCGC